TCATCTGGTTCTTCTGGATAATCCATATTTGCTATTTCAGATGATAAAAGTACATCACGTTTACGTAATCTTAATCGATCATTTTTTGTTTTTAAAGCTAATTCAAGTTCATGTCGAACTGTTGTTATTAGTTTTCGTAATGCACATGCATCCTATAAAAGAAAATAAGACAAAGAGTTTGATTTTTTTTTTGTTCTAGGTTATAGAAATTTTTTCGACTGGACAGCAGTTTACCTCATAAAGAGCTTTATTTCTATGAATAGTAAGTACACTATGTAAGTGCTCATGAGGATAGTACCCCAAGAGATACCTGTCGTTTGAGCTCATATTGGGTCTACAGACAGATCTTAGTGAGACTAGCAAAAGTCTAAAAGGGATTCATCCCCATGGGTCTTTATCGTTGAGCTATGATCAATTTAGTGAATTTTCGATTCATTAGTTAGTAATTCCCAAAAAAAGAATCAAATGACAGAATTTCGATATAATATATTAGACCTATAGATAAATCTAATAACTCTTATAATACCCTCAAAGTTTCAGCCGAAAATAATGTTCCTTCGCCAAGATATTGAATTTCCAAAAACAACTCTTTGTCACAAAAATCAATATTCACTTGAAAATTCAGTAACTTGACGAACGAAAAATTCTGTTCGACTGAAACTTTCAGAATATTCTAAGAGTCGTTAAACCTATCTATGGACAAAATTTTGAATTAAAACTCCGCTATTCGACCTTCCGAAGGAGGAGTACCTAAAAATTGGTCAAAAATTCAGTTAATCAGTTATGACTCAACGCCGAAGGTAAATGAAGACGAACTCTTTGAGGTTTTTGCTATTCTCACTGAGATCTGTCTGTGAATCGAATATGGGCTTAAATAGCGTGCATTACTTGAGGTAGTTTTCTCGTCAGCAGGACAACATAGCACTGATCATTACAGAGTATACAAACTATTCATACAGATAAGGCTCTTTATGAAGAAGACTTCGGTCTGATCTCGCTTTTTTTTTCTTATACTTTATAAATTTGTGATTTTGGATCGTTATATTTTTTTGCATTAGAAACCATTAATAATAAATCATTTTCCATATCATCTAATGTTAAATATTGATCTTTTTGTATTTTCGTTGCTATCATTTTTAAATCAATTGGATTGGTTACAATTAAATAATAATCTGGATACAACTTTTAATAAAAAACAAAAAGAAAAGAAAAGAAAATAAATAAATCAATTAAATATAAAAATTTTTACTTTTCGTGAAGGTAAAAACAAAAAGATTTCTGACATGACACGTTCATTTATATTTGCATTATAAATAGCTGTAAAAAATTCTTCCAAATAATATGAATCAATGGAAATATTATTATTTGCTTCTTCACGTTCAATTTTTATGGTTGTACCATTTGTTAAAATTCCATTTGATTGACGACTTCCACGTCGTTTTTTTTCAATGATTTCTTCATTGTCTATTTCATTAATCTATTTAAAAATAAAAAGAAAAGAAAAGAATTTTTTTTTTCTTCTCACAAAAGAAAACTATGTTTCATTTTTACTTTTTTTGCTATTTGTTTTTGATTTGGATTTTCATCATTGATTTTCGAATAGAAATATTTTGATAGATCATTAGCATCACGACATTCATTGGAATTTTTCTAATAGAAAAAAATTATTTTGTTCACAGATAAAACATCAAATAAATTTATGTTACTCGATAGAAAGTTTTTGCATTTGTTAAAAGTAATTCAATATCATCAATAAATTGTTCTAATGTTTGATATTCATCAGTACGAATTTTTTGTTGAATACGAATTAAATCAATTGGTTGTTTTATTAATGTATAATAATCTGAATGTGTTCTATATACCAAAAGAAAAAAAAGAGGGAATGAATTTTCAATAAAACTAAATATATAATTTAAAAAGAAAACTACCTTTTACTTGGTAAACGTATAAAAGTTTCACAAACAATTCGGCCATCTTCGGATTTATAAGCACGTAAAGCATCGTATAATTCTTGGCAAAGATCATTCTAATAAAACAAAAAAATTAGTAATAAGATTTTTTCAAATATTTTCTTTTACAATTTCTCGATCATCAATTGCTTTTCGACTACGTTTTGGTGCGCTTTGATTACCAGATGGTTCAACATCATCATCGCGATCACTCGCGCTGTGAACGCGCTTCGGCATCTATATAAAAAAAAGGCAAATAGATGAAAGAAAAGTCATAACTAAGGTACAAACAGAACAGTAAAACTGTTACAATTAAATGTGAGAAGAAAATAAATAAACAAATACTTTTTTTTTTTGAGCTATCCAAGGTTCTTCTTCGGTCTCGTCAAATGATTCACCAATTACTATTGAGGATTGATAGAAATGATTGAAGTGACATCTATTGAACAGAGAAAATGATTGAAGAAAACACATTAATTTCATTTTTTTTTTCTTTTGCCTTGACTCATTAGTTGTGAAGAACTAATCATCGAAACACACATTCGGTATGTTCGTTACATACTTAAATAGTATTGAACTTGGTTACACTCAAAAAATGTTGAAAGCGCTCATATAAAATTAATTAAACTTTTTTTTCTTCTATCTCTACTGTGAATATATTCATTAGTTGATTTGTAGACATGATTGAGATTTACAAGAAATTTTTAAATCATTAAATTATCTCTATTGATAAATATTATCAAGAAAAAAGACATAACATTAACAATAATTTATTTTTAAACCGAATATAGAAACAATATGCGATTTTATTCAATCATGTAACGAAAGTATAGGTGAATTTATAGTCAGTGATATTAGACTTGTTTGGTCTATAATTATATGTTTATTTACAAAAAAAAAATATTTCGTCATAGAACTTTGTGTGTTAAATTCAAACAGATGCAACTTAATGCATTAAGAACAAGACGCTTTATATATACTGATTCGTATGATTATAAAGTCGCTTGTAATGTTTAGTATTATATTACAATTTGATCTACATCAGAATCAAAAGTTGATAACCAAGTCTAAGAACTATTGAATGTTGAACATGAGCGAAATTGGAAATATTAATCAGATCGTCGTTGAACTTCACAGTACGAAGAATCTGCTATATATTAACTTGAATTCTAAACATGAACATAGTTGATTACTATAGTACTATTTCTTTTGTACAACTCAAAAAATCATTCTATGATTAAAATTCAAATGTTTAGCCCAAGATTATGCTCGAAATACATTACAATACACAAAATTACTAATATTTACCTATCTATGTAATATTAAGTATTAAATAAGCTGATATCAAATAGTACTTTATTCACATATCAATATACATGATCAGAGAAAAATATCAAAATTAAAAGGACATTTGTGTTGAATTGTCTTGTTTGCGAAAATAAATTTAACTGTTCTTTTCTTCTGTCAACATAGAGTATATGTCAAAGATGATAGATTTGATTTTGAGCATTCAGAGTTATTTCAAAAAAATATTTTTCGAAGTTCGTCTGCGTCTTGTTCTCTTACGTGCTATCGTAACCGTACAAGTGTCAATATAATAATCAGTTTATAAACTCTTTTCTTTCAAAGCAACTTTATTTCCTCGTATTAGGAAAGAAAATCATGATCGAAACTTGGTAAAGAAGATAAATCATGAAGAACGATTCGATTCTAATGAAGAATATGAAGGATTTGAAACACGTCCTCAATCACACGATGAAAAAAGTGGCAAAGGTTGACCTTTCTAGATAGGTCATGGTAATAATAATGACGAAGGTAAATTAATTTGCACAATGCTATAAGACAAACATTATTATTGTGAAAGGAGTAAATCATTCAGTTTGAATTCAGCTAAGATGACAGAATTTTCTTATCTTTTTTCATGAATCTAAGAAAGTTTGACTTGTTTGAATCCTCTTGTTCAGATTTATAAGTTGACGTTATATTTTTTGTGACAGACGTCAACTTGAATGTGAGTGTACATATTGTAAGTACAGTACAACATCATTCTCAATAGTTTGGTAATTGACCTGAAAGAAGACCGAGCAGATCGTAATAGTCATAATAGTGAACACAATGGGGACATAAGAATTTGACCACCACGTCCAGAAAGAAAGGAATTTCGGTAAGAATGTCTAATGCCATCATGTAGAACATTGATCTTATTTGTTTTATCGAAGATACTTAAATAAGAATCTTTGAGATAAAAAACGATTTAAAGATTGTTTGAGTATATTGACATGAAATTATTAAAAGATTTAGACATATAAATTGAAGGGACTTTAACTGATGTATAGAGATAAATGCAAAGCAGAATATATATCATTTGTTCTGGCTTTTACTTTATATTGATCCGAAGATGAACATTCTCCCTTTACACTTCGAAAGTAATTGTGCTCAACAGATGTAAATTTTTTAGATATCTTGTGGAATTTATTTTACGGCCGAACTAGTCCGAATAGTGAACAATTTGAAGGCAATAGTCGTCAATCCGATGATAAACATAAATGATAAAGAACAAAAAAAAATAAGCACTAGGATAGTCGATCTCATGAATGGAATAATTCTGATAATAATGATAATTAATTTTTATTACCGCTTGAATCCGTCATATTCGGTATGATGAGTATAGCATTCAGTTTCATTGTATTATAAACTATTGTGAGACATGTTGATGAAAAACATTTCTCAAAATGCATTTCGTTCTATTAAACCAAACAACTTCAATCCAGATACAAAGAATATGCGATTATTTAATTAAAAATCTCCTAAGAAAAATATTTTTTGTATCTAATTTGTTTTGTATTGCAAATTTTCATTCATGTAAACTTAATGCAAGATGTTACGAGGAAGAATTACAATAGAATATTGTTTTTCAAAACCAAAAAAAAAACTTCTTGTTATTATCTAGGAAAGTGCGAATATGTTTTTTCTTACGACCAATTTTCAGAGTATGATAAAATAGATAACCAGAAATGTGTCGTTGTTCGTTATGTTTCTTTCAAATCAGGAAATGTTCATTATTCATATAAGATTTGTAGTTTTCTATATGCTTTTCTCTTATATGTAGATATCAATGTGAACCTAAACGTTCAAGTCAATCGTGATAATAATGGATATATTCATCTCAAAGAGAAAAAAGTGCAACTCCAGTACTTCATTCGTGTTTCAAAGTATTGAAGTCACGCTTTTTCTCTCTTGACTCATCTTCAGTGAAGAGATCACGATGAACGCGTGGCTAATGACTACCTAAAGCTGATTGTGTTAGAAAACTTTCGAAACCTAAAGGAACTGGTAGATCACACCTGCATATACTCCTCAACATAGTAGTTTATCATTATTGGCACAAGCCGAACGACTCCAAACGATATGAATACATGAAAAACAACATTTTATCTTGTCTATTGTTCTTCGTATTCTTTTTTCATACTTTTGCTTCATATGATAAACAGTTATTGAATAAAATAATCAGAGATTAAGAGTTTGATTGTTGATGGTCTTACTTTAAAGACCCTGTTATTGTATAGTCGACATTCATATATAATTCATTTCATTTATGATCATTGACTTGGTAATTCGCATCGTTGAAACTGTTGGTCATACAAAAAGCATGATTGTTTTCATGCAAAACTTTTAAAATCTCTTAGAAGGCAGTAAACTTTAAAATATTTTTTTATCAAGGAATTGCTTGATTTTGCGTAATATTCCTTAAATTGACTTGTTCAGTTTTTGCCTCGCTAACTTAATGTGAAGTATGAATGATATATCTCAAACAAACCAACAAAATTCTTAGTTTTAAAAAAGACAATAATCACAATATTAATTTCAATTCATATTATTGACATTCTACAATAGACAAACCTTTTCCTATAGATTTATTCTTCTAATTATTATTCAAAAATTTTGATTTTTGATGTAGCATTGCCACAATACGCTCATACCATCAAGTTATGATTCGCTTACTCGTTATCAGTGAATATTTATCCATCACTTAATTATATAATACAATTGTTAATAACCAACATGTTGTTATACTCTGATCTACTTTCCTATGAAAAACACATCGCTATCACAAATAAAGCAAAATGTTAAAATTACTTGACACAAAACACATGTCTCATCTGAGATTAGAACAAAATGAGAAATAGTCGTTACTAATCTTTGCAGTGTTATATTGGTATCTGATTTCCTAATTCGTGTCACTATCGGCACTAGCATATATACAGAAGAACATTCCAAAGGGTTAACATATGCACAAAATACATGTCAAGTTCAAACTAATAGTTATAGGGAATACTGATGTTATGCGCCCATATGGCATGTTACTTACAGAGAAAGTCAAAAGATAAATACAGTAATTGTAGGATACAATCGATTTAGTTTGGTATTTGATGCAATTGCAACAGCAAATAGATATCAGGTGAGCTATTCCAAGTAAATCCTATAAATGTCTCAATGGCTACGAGATTTTTATAAAATTAATACTATAAGAGAAAAAAACTGAATTATTATTTTGTTTCCGAATTCATGTCTAATATCGTCAATTTATCGTACCGTTTCAAACTTAATCGAGCGTTGAACGAACATTAAAATCAATCTTTGCTTATAGATTTTTTTTGTTAGGAGGTTATCGTAATTGACATATCAATGTTGTTTGAATAGAAAAATCAAATTCGAATCATTTTAGTTTATCGTTTCATCAGATTTTATTGTAATCTTTTGTTGAAAAAAAATAACATTGAATCGATTCTCTTATTTTATTTAGATTGGTTCATCTTATCCATGTTGGTACGATACGAAAAATTCATTAATGATTCAATGGGAACAACCAAATTCTATTGCTGGTCTTGTTCTAATAATTCCTACCATCATTTCTTTTATTCTTACATATAAATTTTGTAAACAAATTAAAAGACATCAAACGAAACAGGATGATTTTCAAATTTAGTTTTTCATTTGAACTAATAAATTATATGATTCAATGAGAGAATCTCATTTATAAAATCTAGATTTTCGATTTGTAACAAATTCGTGAAGATATTTTGTTTACAAAATTATTCATGTGATGTACAATTATGAAAGAGATAAACATTTACTGAAATAATTTTATCAAACGAAATATTCATTGATACGGAGAGGTTCAAAAAAAAAGATACCAAATTTTCTTTGAGTTCAAATTCAGCTCGATTTTAAAATCTAAATGAGATATCGTTTGGATAAGGTTTGATAAACAACAACAAATTGCACAGATTAAAGTATTATTCAAATCTGCTCTATAGATATTAAGAGTACTGGCCAAAAAAAACCTGACATGAGCAATCTTAATATATCATCCTATTATTCATTGTATTATGACTACTGACAGTAAATGCAGAAAATGGCTATGGAAACACCTAAAGAATAAACAGCTGTTCATGATACATATGACTATCCATCTTCTAAGCAGTGACTCATTATTTTTTTTTGTTTAAATCAAACTATTTCCAATCGTATTTCTATGAACGTACATGTATATGATTGCTAAGAGAATAATTGGAAAGTTGATCATTATATCATAATGATTTATTTATTTTTTAATCTTTAAAGTAGAAATCTTCGCTAAAAAATATTAATAATATTATTTTTCTCATAAGATTAAATTATATTCCTCGTTTTCATTTCATTATTTTTCTAATATGAACTCCAGAAATAATATCTTACTCAACAGACAGTGGCGACAACAGAATAAGCGCATTTATCAACTATTCGTCTATGTTCGTTGTGCTAATTTTGAATGGAGAGATCACTCACTAATCTTAGTTGTAGAAGTAAGAAACAAGTAAAATACTTATTTTTTTTTCTTATTATTATACAAATGGCACAACGTACAGCATCACAACTCTATTTTGATTTAATTCGTCTATTTAAACAATGGCCAATTGATAAATCTAAAACAGGTCGTGATCTTGGCGAATGTTTACGACAACAATTTTCTCAAGCATTTATTCTTGGTGAAAATTCTCAAGTAGATTGTAATGAATGGAATCGTTTTTATGATAATATGAAATTATTAATATCTAATGATATTAAAAATTGTTATCCACGTGAACGTAATTGGACAGCATCTGGTTTAAGTCGTGAACATTTACATTTTTTACTTTCAAATAAAAGTCTTCAAGCTAATAAAGATTTTATGAAAAAAATGAAATAAATATAAAACCAAAAAAAAAAAAGAAAGAATTTTTTTCTGTGTGTTTTGTTTTCTAGATCATGCGTTTAACTGAACGTGAATTTGAAAATTTAAAAATTAGTCATGCTGGTACTGTTGCACAAAAACGTCTTGCTCGTGGTGTACGTTTAAATTATCCGGAAGCTATTGCACTTATATCAGCACAATGTCTTGAATTAATTCGTGATGGAAATCATAGTTTAACTGATATTCAACAACAAGCAAAAAAAATTCTTGGAAAAAATATGGTACTTAATGGTGTACCACAAATGATCAAAGAAATAAATATTGAAGCAACATTTCCTGATGGTGTTAAAGTTGTAAGTGAATTATATAGATTTTTATCATTTTAATATCATTTATAACTAAGGTCATTATTCGAAATCCAATTTGTACTGATATGGGTGATTTAGAATTAGCTTTATATGGAAGTTTTTTACCAATTCCATCAATTGATTTATTTCAAGTAAAATATTTGATTTGTTGATTGATTGATTGATTGTTTTTTTTCTTTTTTCTTTGATTTCTAGAAAGCAAATGATAGTGAATCAGGATCTCATCCAGGTGAAATATTTCTTAAAGATGCTCAACCAATTATGATTAATGGTGATCGTGATAGTATATTCATCACTGTAACAAATGAGAGTACTGAATTAATATCAATTGGAAGTCATTTTCATTTTGTTGAAGCTAATAGACATTTAGCATTTGATCGTACACTTGCTTATGGAATGCGTTTAGTAAATAAAAACAAAACAAAAAAAAACAAATTTCATTTTTCTTTTTTAATCATGTTATATTTTCTTTTTAATAGAATATTCCTGCTGGTGATATTTTAACATTTAATCCTGGAGAACAAAAAGAAGCTCCAATTATACCAATTGGTGGACAAAGGTAGATATTTTATTTGAATTTATTATATTGAATTATTTTATTTAGAATAATTCATGGTGGTAATGGCCTTTTTGATGGACCAGTTAATGATGAAAATTTAAAAAAAAATCAAAAAAATTTACGAAAAAATAATTTCTTACATGTCGATGAAAAAAATAGTTTAGAAAAAGTAAATCGTCGCTCAACAAAATATACAATTCCACGTGAATTATATCTTGTTCGTTATGGACCAACAATAGGCGATCGAGTAATTATGAAGAGATTTTTGTTTTTTTTTTTTTCAGAAAAAAAAACAAAAGATTTTCTATACATAGATTTTACTTGGTGATACAAACTTAGTAGTACAAATAGAAGCTGATCTAACAACATATGGTGAAGAATGTACATTTGGTCTTGGAAAAGTTCGTTAATTTTTATCTTTTTTTTAAAGAATAAAAACAAAAAAAGAATATAATATTTTACGTAGGTTTTAAGAGAAGGTATGGGTCAAGCATCAAATACACGTAATGATATTGCATTAGATACAGTTATAACTAATGTTGTTATTATTGATGCTGTTATTGGAATAATTAAAGCTGATGTTGGAATTAAAGTAAATTTAATATTTTATTTGTCGGTTTTTTGTTTTGTTAAACGAATTATTTAGGATGGTGTTATTGCGGGCGTTGGAAAAGCTGGAAATCCTCAAACAATGTCTGGTGTTACTGCTGTAAGAAATAGCGTAGAAATTCTCAAGGAATTTTTAAAATGTATTATTCACGCATTCAATAAAAGCAAACTCTTTGAAACTTTGACAGATTACTGTGTGCCTATTTAATACTGAATAATTACAAAGTTTTAGATCTAGAACATTTTCAAGAGATGAAAACTCATAACAACACTATCATGTAGTTTTTCTTTTTCAAATTTTCTAATAATTTTAATTATTTTAAAAAAAAACGACAGTACAACTTTTTGAAGTCCACTTTGTTTATGATCGTAATCATCTTGAAAAATAATATTGCGTTAATCACTAAATTCTTAAGCTGTTTTCTTCTGCTACAATAGTTCGAATGAATTTTGCGTATCCGTCATTCGTAAAACACATTTTCTTAGGATGATCACTACCTTGTGATCTAACAAGCTCGAACTACTCACCCATAAAAATTGGTTTGTTTTAGAAATTTATCAATTTAAGTAAATAGAAAATATTATATGATAGAGTTCGTACAGTTTCTCACCCATTGAAAAAACTATAGACCTAAAACTTTGTAATTATTTTAGTATTAAGTAGTTACACTAACTTGTCCGAGTTTCAAAGAGTTTGCTTTTGTTGAATGAGAGGACGATATATTTTAAAATTGCTTGAGCACTTCTGAAACATCTTTTAAACAAAGGAATTATTTAAATTCAATATTTATGTATTTATTAGGGTATGGTCATTGGTGTTGGAACTGAAGTAATTCAAGGTGAAAGTTTAATATTAACAGCAGGTGCTATTGATGCATGTGCTTATTTTACATCTCCTGATGTTGTTACTGAAGCTTTAATGAGTGGTGTAACAACAATGTTTGGTGGTGGAACGGGAATGAATGGTAGTGTAACAATGTCAACACCTGGTCCAAATCATATTAAATATATGATACAATCAACAGATGATTATCCAATGAATTTTGGTTTTTATGGAAAAGGAAATACATCAAAAGCAGAAGGTTTATCAAAAGAACTCGAAGATCAAATTGTAGCTGGTGCAATTGGGTATGAATTTATTTATCTAACAAGAGAATTCCTTTAACTGATAAATCATTTTTGAATCGAAACTATGTGCATTATGTAGATTCAAATAAGCTATGATTACTTTGAAAAGAGTTTGTGCCCTCAGCTTATTACTATTGAGATACTGTACTTTTACAGTATTTCGATAGTAATAAGCTAAGGGCATGGATTCTTTTCAAAGTATTAATAACTCATTTGAACCTACATAATGTACATAGTCTTGACGCATAAGCAATTTATCAGTGCGAGGTCTTTCCTTGTAAGATTAAAACGAGTTAGATTTGAGTTTTTTTAGTTTACGATTAGATGAACGTTGGGGTGCAACACCATCAGCTATTGATACTTGTTTACGTGTTGCTGAATATCATGATATAAGTGTAAGATTTTAATCTTTTTCTTTTTCAATGAAAATATCATCTTTTTAATTGATTATCTAGGTTCATGCTGATTTAGATAGTTTACGTGAAGCATATAGTGCACCAGATTCTATTTCAATGTTTCGTGATCGTGTTGTATTAATTCCATGTACAGAAACAGCAGCAGCTCGAAATAATTTTTTTGAATTACTTCAACAACCTAATGTAATTATTACATCTTGTAATAATAAAGCAGCTGTTTATCGTCAACCTGGGTACTTTTTTTCTCTTCGAACTTTATAAAGATTATTTTTATTTTTCTAGAGAAAATCAAAAACAATTTGCTATTGAAGATTTTCTTCATGATATTGGAGCAATTAGTATTATTTCATCTTCGTCACAAGTAACACAATCGAGATTTTAAAGTACTAAAAAAAGAAAAAA